AAATAGGGTGTACAGCGCACACTATAGTCTATAACAACAAATGAATTGAAATAAATGAGCGTGCTGTTTGTGCAACAGCGCGACAAACATTACCTGTACTTTTATGAACTGCACAAGTAGTGGTGGTCATTAACTGCTAGCTAACTGGGTTAGGGTGTTACAAGGGGGTCTGTAGCTCAGTCCACCATTTTAGGGAACATGTTTTGTTTTAAAGTAAGTTACAGGACTTTTCCCTTCTTTTCTGGAGGGCTTTTATTTCACTAAAAACGATCTAATATGGATATCCACATAATTCCATATTAGATTCGTCATGAATGTGAGTTGTTGTTATTCAGCCTGTTCTATCTTTTTTAACTTTGAGCACCCGCCCCTTTAAACGTCTCTGCACGGCCCTGATCATCTGTGTTTTAACCTGAGACGTCTTTGCATTTACTCAAGTAGATCATCATGCATTTGGATGTTGATTTAGATGCTAGATGCCAGTTGACACAGTGGCTCAGTTGCATCGTTGACGTAGATCTTCACTCTGTGTTGGCTGGGATAGGCTGCATATCCCACTGCAGGGTACATTATTAGAAAATGGATGGAGTGTCACAATTATGGATTGTTTAGTGGTTAGTAACTGCAGAAAAGTGGTTAATAGATGCCTTAAATTCACTTCTTCCTGCGATATCTTTGCGAAGGTCGTCAGGACAGGCCAGTGGAGCTGAAGCCATCAGTGGCCAAATCAAAGTCAAAAACCGCAGGGAGCGCTGACAATCATCCCGCCACTAGGGGGAGCCAACTGAAATCCTTGTTGGATGCTACTCAAGGGCAAGGCTCCCCTTCAGAAGCTTCCACGAAGCCCACCCTGGGTACGACACCGGATCGCGGGGGGCAGGACACCGGCGTGGCCTTGTGTAGCGAGGAGGGGGATCTGATTGCTGATCGAAAAACCAAATCTCCCAGTGCCGAGGAAGACCGACAGGAAGGCAAAGACTCAAAAGAAGAAAGCCAAGAAGGGGGAGGAAAGGCCAAAGAGCGCCCCCCCTCCAGGAATGGCATTCAGGTCAAGACCCAGGGCAAGGTCTCATGTGGTAGCAAGACCCCCCTGACTGAGTCGGAGGTTCGACTGCTGACGGGACTGTACTACCTTCCCCACGAGCATGGCGCCCCCGCACAGCGCCTCCTACAGGACCTCGCCTGGCTGAAGGCCAACAGCCACTGCGTCAGCGCCAATGGCAAGAAGGGCCAGTCGCAGAAGGTCAGCCATTAAAATGTTGATGCTGTGCCTGTGCGTCCTTGTGTTCCCATATCATGGTGATGTCAGAATGAGCCCCCCCTATGTCCCCCATGCACTTCTGTCTCTCTCCCTCATGCACCTATGCCTCTCCGGCCAGGCTGAGGAGTGGCGCCGGCGCGCCGAACAGTTCCAGGCGGCGTGCGAAGACATTGCGCGGCTGCACTGCAGCGTGGTCAACAGCGTCAACCGGGCCTTCCTCTACGACCTGTACCCCTACGTGTGGGACCTGCGCAACACCGCCTTGGTAGCCAAGGCCTTCATTAGCTGGCTGGGTGAGGGGAACCTGGGGAAGCATGTTGTCTGGGAGACTCGGGGGCAGGGTCTGCAGCAGGAACCAGGCGGGCTTAGAGGAAGATCTTCTTTTCCTGCTTTTCACCTGGCTTCTTAATGACTGTTGGTATTCATACCTTTGTGATGTTGCGGTTCAACCGAAGTAGACTGCAGTTACCCCAGTTCCGATTCTGTAGGTCTCCTGTGTTTGAAAACGTTGTACAGTTGACTATTTGCATGATCAGTTGGTTTTAAGGAACTTTGCTGGGAAACCGCTGTAGACACAGTAGGCTAGGAGACCTAGGAGACCTTTGGCACGAAAGAAACTGTATGTGGCTTCATGCGGAAGGAGGAATGATCACATGCGTGCAGCATTGCTGATTTGCATTCTCTCAGTCTCCAAGGCAGCATGCAGGAATGGCAATGTCAGCCATGACAGCGAGCTAAAGCTGCAGATCTTCTCTTCTTAGATGGGCGGGTGCTGAATGATGGCTGTCCTGCAGGATCCTGGAGGAACTGTTTTCACTGTGAGTGACAGCTGACTGGTTATTGTCCAGTAGGGACCCTTCCCTTGGCCTCAGCCATTAGACAGATGCTCTGCGGTCCCTTCCAGGGTGTGGTACGACCATGGGTGCAGAGCTCCTGGGGGTGGAGTCGGAGCCCTGGATGTTCAAAGGGGGGCTGGCAGGAGAGGTGCAGGTAGGAAGATCTCCAGTGCCGTGCCGTCTCACGTCGGAAGCTGGGGAGGGACCAAGGAACTGCACCCACATTTGAACCATTTCCACAAATACAGTTTGTATGAAGCAGCTGCCAAACCCTTAATCTTTAGTCCCAAAAACCATCCTGAGAGTTAAGGCTGGGTAACAGGAGCTTGTCTGTGAGGATCAGGTACTCATTAATCTTGTCAGACTGACTTTGCTTAAAAGAGGGTAAATTGTTTGTGTGAATGGGGTTTCGTGGCATGAAGGGTCCATTGGTACACACGTTAATGATTTTCTGCCTGTGTCCTTTCAGTTGGCTGATGATATGCTGTAGATGGTCTCTGCTTGCGTCTTGTAGATGCTCCTCCCAGTCGGGACCAACAGTGAGCTTTTTAGCCACCCTCCTCCCCTCTTCCCCACCTCCAGGCTGTACAACATCCGCCCCTTCCAGCTCAAAGACAAGGTGAGCATGTGCAGGCACACGGAGGCTGGCCACTGTGCCAAGGCGCCGACCCGCTCATAATCCTGCTGTTAATCCAACAGGTGGAGCTGTACCGCATGGTGCGTCAGCTTCACATGAAGACCCTGGGAATCCCCGATGCTGCCTTAACCCACCCTGACCTCATGGGAGACCGGTAACCCCCCCCTGTATTTAGTCAGAGCTAAGCTTCATTATGAGCATGTCCTACACCAGGGTTCCCCAATTCCAGTCCTGGAGGGCCAGAGCAAAGTTTGCAGATTTCCCTGCTCAAACATCTAAATCAACTTATTACCAGGTTTAGTAGGTGTGTTTGAACAGGGGGAAGCGCAGGTGTGCATGTGTGAGTGAGTGGTGTGTGGGTGTGAGTGAGTGTGAGTGAGTGGTGTGTGGGTGTGAGTGAGTGGTGTGTGAGTGTGAGTGAGTGGTGTGTCAGTGTGCCCTCTGATGGGCTGACGCCCCATCCTGGGTTGTCCCCTGTCTTGCACCTGAAGGCTCTGGACCTCTGTGACCCTGAATAGGACAAGAATTTACAGAAGATGGATGGTAGGACCAGACTTATCGATTTAAAATTGAAATCACGATTTTAAACAACGCGATTAACAAATCACAAAGGTTGTGATTTAGAATATGCATTATACAGCATGTCTCACCCAGGGCTCAAAATTGTCATAAGAATAGTTTTACAGATTCATGCTGTCCTCCTTGTGTGGCGGTCATTTTCACCAATCAGAAGTGCTGTGCTTCCTCGCATGCCAGTCATGCTGGCCAATCAAAAGTGGTCCAAGGGGACTGTGGATATGCCCACAAACAACAAACATGTAAAACCCTAGGAAAATGTTACATTGACAGTGCGAAAAAATATTGGTTGCGCTGCTATAAGTCAATTACCTGCCTATTACAGAATTACAGTTATCTTTTGTTATCTTGGATGAGCAGTAGTTTTTTAAACCTCAGTGATAGTAAGATTATTCTATTTGGCCATAAGTGTACTGATTGTTTTTCTGTTTTTTTGGGCCCTCTTTCTCCTTATCTTCGCTAATCTGTTAAGAACCTACTGTAGGCATGACCTTTGACAGTGCTTTTAAATTTGATAATCAGATGAGCTCTGTCATAAAAACAAGTTTTTACCAATTGAGACTTATAGCTAAGGTTGAAGGTTATCTCCCCCTTAAAGCTCTTGAGAAGGTTATCCATGCTTTTATAACCTCCTGGTTGGATTATTGCAATTCATTATATTTTGGAATTGATCAATCACAAATTCATTGTCTGCAAAACACAGCAGCTCGTCTCCTCTCTGGTAAGCTTAAGCACGATCATATTTCTCCAATATTGGCCTCGCTTCACTGGCTACCTGTGAGGTTTATAATTGAGTTTAAAATGTTGTTGATTGTTTTTAAAGCACTGAACAGGCTGGCACCCGAATATCTCACTGAACTGCTACACTTTTATACTCCGGCCAAAGCACTTAGCTCGTCTCAACAGCTTCTGCTCAAAGTCCCTAAGACCAGGCTGAAGACCAGAGGCGACCGAGCCTTTGGGGTGGCAGCCCCTAGACTTTTGGGTGGCTGCCCCTAGACTTTGGGGTGGCAGCCCCTAGACTTTTGGGTGGCAGCCCCTAGACTTTTGGGTGGCTGCCCCTAGACTTTGGGGTGGCAGCCCCTAGACTTTTGGGTGGCTGCCCCTAGACTTTGGGGTGGCTGCCCCTAGACTTTCGGATGGCTGCCCCTAGACCTTGGGGTGGCAGCCCCTAGACTTTGGAATAGCCTACCTTGGCATGTTAGATCTGCCTCGACTCTGGAATCTTTTAAATGTTCTCTTAAGACACCTTTTCTCGATGCCATTTAATTTAGGATGAGTTGGCATGAAATGCTCTGAGTCTGTTGTTCTTCATTTTATGTTTCTTATTTGATGTTTTTTTTAATTGTTTTTAATGATGTGACTCTGTACAGCACTTTGGTCAACATTGGTTGTTTAAAAGTGCTTTATAAATAAACTTTGATTTGTTTATAGAAAGGTCCTGTTGTTAGGGGTCCAAGCAGCATTAGCTGCAAGATCCCTGTTATCTGGAATTGTTTTATTTTTACTATTACTACTTTATTTTATTTATTCCACACTGAATATTGAACCAATGCTGTACTTTTAAAAAAATGATATGGCAAATCAAATTGCAATTCCAATATGTCTGAAAAATCGCAATTGGATATTTTCCCCAAATTGTTCAGACCTGATGGATGGATGGATGGATGGATGTTTGAGCAAGGAAATCTGCAAACTGCATTGGATTCTGGGACTCCAGGGCCAGAATTGGGGAACCTTGCCCTACTCAGACTAAAGGTTAACCTGAAATATATATACAGGTATCCAATGACTTACGTTTGGGTTTCTTCCAGGAAGTGAAGACGTAAGTCAGTCTGAACGTATCTCAATCATTATAGGGAAGAGATCAAACATACTGTATAACATGGTACAATGTTGCACACATTGAACTCAACCACTATTGTGGCAGCACAGTCAGTTTGTTTTGGTTCTTGCCGCATGCTGCACATGGCAAGATATGTCAGCTAATGTCCACTACATCTACTAAATATCATTAAGGCTCTTATAGAATGTAAATACAATCTGATGTTACTCAACAAGACGCAAGTGGACGGATGACTATACGCTTTTTAATGTGACACGAACGCTACATGTTTGTGAGCCAATGTGTAGATGTAGTGGGGTAGCAGTGAGCAATGGGGTGGGTAAGAATCAGCTTCTGTGCACCTCCTACATTCTCCTAACAGTGCCGAGTGTGTGTGGGTCTCTCTAGGTTTTTGGGGGCATTCCTGGCCCTCTGCCCAGAGTACAGCTTCGTGCTGGAGGACGAGCTGGGAGTTTGTGGCTGTGCCCTGGGCATCCTGGACGTGCGCTCCTTCGCCAAACGATGCCAGGCCACATGGCTGCCTTCCATGAGGGACAAGTACCCCTCCCGTACACACGGGGTCGCTGCACCGCAGGTCAAAACTCAGAACTGCACACCAATGAACATAGATTTTAATGATTATTAAGATGTACGTAAGAAAGCTTATAATAGCTCAGATAGTACAGATATAACATGCAATGTCTGTATTTTGTTAAAGGCACTTTGCAGTTTGCACTCTACAATATCTTCTTAAATGGTGCTCTGGGCTATGATATACTATTATATTACAGTATTATAGCGGCATATAAACGTGATTTTCCTGCATTAATATCAACTCAAGCATTATTGAAATATATAAAAACAGAACTAATGGGGGGGAAAAGGTAGCAAATGATAAGAATTTGGGACGGAAGGCACCAGGTACTTATGAACTACTGCTGAATGTACTCACAGATGCAAACAGAGATGCCATGATATCACCACTAAGTGACGATGTTCAGCTCACAGCTGTGCTGTGCTCTCCGCAGTTTCCAGCCTTATCAGCACAGAACAGGGCCACATAATCATAGGACACGCACTCAGAAAACATGATGCATCTCTGTCCCATGTAACTGCAGTTCCCCTTTCCTCCAGCAGGAGGTGCTCCTGCTGTACCAGGATGAGCAGTCTGATTACCCCGACTCCTTGCTGTACCACTTCCCATCTCAGTTGTGTCTGGATGCCCTACCTGAGTTGGTAGACTGCAGCGTGACCCGGAGTCTGCTGACCGTCCTGTTCAGTGCCCTCAAGGCTAACGGTCAGTTCTCTCCTGACACCTCATTGACATCATGTTATCTTTAGCTCTTTCACATTCAGCACAGACAAAATAAAGCCCTAAGGAGTCAGTGTCTAAATCAACGTTCCCTTTTCATCGGTTGTCTCTCTCTCTGTGTTTGTGGGCCCAGTGTGTGTGTGTGAACGGCTTGCAGAAATAGACCGTATTCTGCACCTGTTACTCACCAAATTGTATGCACAAAAACTGGAGGAACCGGTCCCTGTGTTCCTGTGCCTTCCTGTCTTGGCGTACACACATAAACCCATTATGACTGTGCAGGGAGAAACGTAGATAGTACTCAGTTTGATCCCTCTCTGTCACTTTCCCATTCTGGCTTTTGTTTTCCTTTTCGAATCTCTAGGGAACTTTTATTCACAAATAATTATATATCTACATACCAACAGAATTGTCCATTGCATCCACCAAGAAAGATCTGTGGGCTCGGTTTCTAAGGATAGATGTCTTGGCGTCTGTAATTATTGTATTTATTTTCACACGCGACAGAATTCTGATACGGTATTTCCTGTCACAGCAGGTTCTCCTGATTTGCTTGTTAATTGATCTGTCTTACATTATTTTTCTCCTGAAGATATTTTCATTAAAAGGAACTTGTTTTTATAGTCCTCCACTAAAATATAAACTGTTTCTTATGGGATTCCAACCAACAACCCTGTATCAAAGAGATCATGGTCTTTATAACCCATATGTGTCCTCACCTTACTAGGGTAATTAAGATAGTAGATTTTACATCACATATAGTATTCATTTGAAGCTCTCGTGGAGAACATCTTTAGACCTAATACGTATAAACAGCCTTGAAAAAGTCTTGAGAAATTCCCTCATTTTATGGAATTACAAATTCTGCGTTGGAATTTATTACTCTTCTATATTATTATTTCTCAACACCAGAATTTAAAATGAATTATTTTCATGTGACATTGTTTCAGGACACATCTAAGCATTAGGTACTTTATAAAAGGCAGTAGACGCTAATCTGTATGTCCAACTTTTGGGTATACAGTGCAGCGTTTCTCAAACCAGTCCTCGGGGACATACAGATGGTCCATGTTTTTGCTCTCTCCCAGTTCCCTGAGAGTTGGGTGGGAGCAGAAATGTGGACCGGCTGGTTTGGCCCCGAGAACTGGTTTGAGAAATACTGATATAGTGTATCTGCTGAAGAGGAAAAAGTAAAGATAACGTTGTGGTTTTCTTAATATTTTCTCTACATACATTTGGATGGCTGCTTAAGTGTAATTTGTAAGCTAACAGAGTCTTTCCTCACATTAGTGAAGCAGGTTATAATTGCCTTGAGCTGTCCAAGCCATGGCCCTATATAATTTTCACAAGGCCCAGTCACTAAATTTGACGAAGAGCTACTTTCACAGGGTTAGTCACACCTAGGTTGATCATGTGACCTGCAACTGTAATCTGATGGCCCACTCTCCACTTGTGCATAAGGGGTCTCCGTGGGAGGAGAGTGCCGTCTGTCAGGTGCGCCCGTGTGACCGGCTGTGTTTCCATCTGTTTGTCGTAGGCTCCCAGGGAGTGTTCTGCGAGGTGCTTCCTACGGACCACACACGCCTGGAGTTTCTGACTAAATTGGGCTTCCTGGAAATCCTGCGGGGTGAGGCCAGACCACGGGAAGGCCTGGTCCTTGGCCGGCTGCTGTAGTGCACCTGTCAGGTGTTGGGATTTTCTTCTCTGCGGAAGCACTTATTTTTCCCATCACTAACATACGCTATACATCGCCTCGCTTTTTATATACATTGTCCTTTGAGTACCTGTCTCCTTTTGAACTGACCCTATTCCACAGCAGTATAGACACAGGATGCAAGTGACAGAAAATGCACACAGCAGCACACACACACAAGCTTTTGTGAGCAAGACTGGCCTGGCACAATGCGGTCCCAGGGGACTCGACCCAAACAAACACAAATTGTATTTCAGTTAAAGCCTGGCCAGATTAAATTACACACTGCGTAAGACATGCTGTTAGGCTTTGTGTTAAGAACATGGCATTGTGTACTCAGTACTCACATTACTGAGAGCTGAGACTGCCAAACAGATAAGCCTTTGTTTCATCATACCGAACAATAAATATAGTTTTAATATAGCATTATCACTCGTGTCTGCTACATTACCAAGCGTGTCCTCTTTTTGATCACTTCCCATGAAAAAAGGCTGTATACCAACTAATAGAACAGTTATTTTGGCATGCTGCTTGATCTTTGTTTGCTAATAACCATCTGACGTTCTGGTTCACGTTTTATTCGGTCAGCTAGCCGATTTGAATCTTCTTTCTTATCTTTTATTGTCGCACTAGTGACTGATGCGTGTTCATTCCTGGAGTAGTCTGGTGTGTCTTATCTTAGTTGCTCGTGCCGTCTCATTCGCAGCAACCAAGAAAACAGATAGAACAGTGATTGTGTTGGCGGACGGTCTATATGCATTTTTTTCTTACTGGATGATTAAAACTTTGTAGGATTGCCATTAAAGATGTTCTTTCCCTGATAATAGCATGTGCCAGTTTGTCATAGAACATAGTAGAACATGGGGGCATAATGTGGCTGTACCGATTAGGATGTCTCTGATGTTCCTGTGATCAGAAGCTCACCATTTCAACTGGCTGGCAGACTGACGGTAGCAGAATACTCTGAGACCGGAAATGCTGTAAGTGACGTCAGACTCTGGAGACTTGGCGGAAAACTTGAACGAACAGCGAGGACAACGAGGTGAATTTGGAATCACTCCAAGAATACATTGACTGGTACTTCGACGCAATAGTCATGAAGAAGAACCTAAATACATCTTCCCCGGGCAAAAGCGAGACGCCGTCATCCAATTCCATCAGTAATTCAAATCCCTGAGGAAGTCTTTGGAATTCAGCCAGCAACAGGTGGGAACACTCGCTGCTGAAAACGCCTCACTAGGGAACTCGGTTAAGTCTCTAACTGAGAATGTGACCAATCTAAAAGAAAAAAAATATATATATATGAGACTGTCATCGATCTCCAAGCCCGTAGCATGAGAGATAACCTGGTGTTTTTAGGCATCCCGGAATCTGCTGAACAGGACGCAGAAATTACTGTTA